CAAAAAGTGTTTAACAAAAAATAACCGTATTTTGATTTATATGTTTGTTCTTAGATTTTATTGTAATGAGAATGAGAGACATTATTTCGCATATTGCTATTTTGTTTAATTTCAATCCAATAGGAAGTAGATATTTTTATTATTGTTAAGAAAATGTAAAAAAAATCTAATAGTAAGTAAAGAGTCAGAAAGATAAAAGGCCAACAACTCCGTGAGTAGGATTATGTTTGATAATGTTTGATCCAAAAACATTCCAAAAAATTAAAATTATATATATATTTTCTCTTTTATTTATTTTGATAAAGACAGTTTTATATCGGTCTGCGATACGATTTTAGTTGGTTGTGGTCATAATATTTATGTATTATATCGTACATGTTGGCAAAGAAAAACAGCAAGTTATCATACTGCCCATTATAGGGCGCATCACGTGCTACATTTGCAGCCTCCGCGTCTACTAAACGCGCAGTCTCGTAAAAACCTTGGCCAATTTCAAGATTATCTAAACCACGATATTGCATATTGAGGCCCCAAGCATTGACATGTACTTCTAGCAAGAACTGATGTACAGCTTCGACTGTAGCGAGATACCAGCGCGGACTGCCACGTTGATGTCGCCAAAATTGCGAAAAACGGTTTTGTAGAACTACTGTGGGTAAAGCTTTTAAGCGTTCGTCCTTATAAATACCGCGGCTTTGATTCCACGTGCTATCAATGAATATAGCACGCCTTACAGGTAGGTTATCATATGTATATGCCATATCGGTGTATTCTTCGCCCTCTTCTGGTTCATCTTTAATTTCGTCTATGCGCCATCTTAACATTGTGCCAATGTTGTGGCCTTTCGGTAAGCCGTAATTATTTTCCGTTTTTAATCGTACACGTTGATTGAAGAGCTGCGGCACGGTTAAGCTTTTAGCACTTGGAAATATCAGTATAACACCATCCATTTTTGAATAATCAGGCATATCTGGATATGCATAAACATGCACACGATTCTTAGCCAAAACTGCAGCATGTGCTGATGTGCTCTTACCATCAATTTCCTTCTTATGCTTTATGATATCGATGTCGATTGGTATATCTACGTGAGGTATGAAATCACCCACATTTCCAACGGGTACATAACAATTGTAACAATAAAATTTACGTGACCGATTGCATTGTGTGCAGGTAAAGCGTCCTTCAATGGCATCCAATTGATGTGTGTCGTCTAGGCGCATTTTAGCAAATGGGTATTTCCTAGGTGCTGAAACATTCTCCACCGGGTGAGTCATTGCACAGAAACTATATTTTAAAAAATTACAAATATTATATATTTGTTTGCAATTTAAATTGCATTGTTTTCAATCCAATAAAATTAAGAAATAATAAACACTTGTTTCGGCGCCATCTAACTGGGCGAAATCAGCTGTTAGGGATTTCGGCATAATAGGTATGTGTTCATTTATCGATATTAAATTTTTTTTTTTTTTTAATATATATAGATAAAAACTAAAGAGTTGTTGTATGTGAAATTATTAAAAAAAGCAATCGATGCAATTTATGAATGTAATCGTTTCGATTAATGGTATATTCTATCTACCTATTTACACTCTGGTAACTCTCAAATATTGTTCTCTTATTTGCTATTTGCTTTTATAAATAAATTTCAAGTTTGTTGTTTTCCATTGCTTCTCATTTCGGACACACACATAATAAAATTGTGTTAATTTTTTCACAAATCTGGAGAGTAAAAATTAAGTGAAAATATTGTGAACAGCAGTGGAAAATGGAAAGTTGCTAATACGTGTCATCGTCGTTTATAACATTTCACTCCGCGAAAATCTAATTAGATTGCTGAAACAAAAGTTTGAAGGAGCAATTGGAAAACCTCCGACGCCAATTCATAAATACATTGCAATTATTTTGGAGTTGCTGGAAGAGGTAAAAAGAAAATATTTGTGCAAGTGTATTATGCACTTACATATGTATGTAAGTAGGTATATTCACATATTTATAGAAATGGTAGCAAAGAGGAAAGTGCAGTGCGCTGGGAGGAGATCAAAACTGGAATCGTGTAGCTAGATACATATATTAATATTATGTGATATGCTATTTTATTTTAGGAGAAGCAAGAGCGAAGTACATATGTATATACTCCAATGAACTCATAACCATAAGTCAGCGGCAACTATATGTATACATTTTCTTGATCTGGAGGACCTGCTCTATCCGTACATATCCATTTTAACCCCGAAATCCGGGGATGTTATTCTAAATCGCAGCAAAAAAATAAAAAATGCCAAAGCATAAGCCCGGATATATTGTTATCATAACTAATAAAATATAATACAATTCTTTTGATGTGCTAATAACTGCATATGTATATATATATAAACATATGCATATGTATATGCACCCGTTCATGCCGTGTCATATGGAATAGTACGTTGCTATTAAACCTACTAATGTGCATATTTTCTCAAAATGTAATGAGATGATGAATGAGATACCCAAGTGGTATATCTTACAAAATTGAAATTTGTAAAATTGGGTTTGCATGATGTAAAAYCATATCACATTGTATGGACACATACATACATATGTATGTGCATAGTTTGAACCTCGTTTGATTATCAGTATTCTACAAGTTTAATGCAATATTCCATGCTTTTTTTTTCCAAAGGCCGGAGACAAATTGTGACCTACAAATAATTGGTTTATTCTCGTTGAATTGTTTTTCATGCTCAGTGATAGTTATCTGAATATCAGTTGCAGGTTTATATTATATATGTACTTATATATTAAATGATTTTTAATATTTTGGATGCATTTGTTAATAAAACAAGGGTGTAACTTAAATACAATTTTTACCTCAACATAATAACAATATATCCGGGTTTATGCTTTGGTATTTTTTATTTTTGTGTTGTCTAAATTAAGTCTTAGGCATCCTTCCCGTTTGTTTTACTTGTCTTATCTCTTGCCAAAAAAAAAAAAAAAAAAACTTAAAGAAATACAGTCAAATGCTACAAAAGGATGAAAAAATAAACATACAAACAATAATAATTAAAACTTGTCATAATGCCAGACATTTTTGCAAGCTGCCCACAATTTATATAAATTGTGTCGGGATTTACTTCGTTCAACGCTCATTTAGAAACCTTATCAGTAAAACGAGACGTGTGAGGAAACAATTTGTGTGTTTTATGAATCGTAATTACACTCGCTTTGTAATAAAATGAACAATGCAAAATCTAAAGCTACATTTCAAAGAGTTTATGGTACTGTTTAGTTGAAGTAAAATTTTAATGAAAATAAAAATTCTGTGTACGTATCTATATGTTGGAAAATTATCTTAAAACACCTCTTTTTTATTTATTTATATAAATATAAAGCTGTAAATGCCTTCCTCTCAATTTTTCGTGTATACGTAAATATTATAGCAATGTTTTTGTATATATACAATTGATTGTGTACTTTAACTACAAACAATTTATTGCTATACTATTTTTAAAGCTTGTGGAGAAGACACGTCATTTACATATATGTATGTATATATTTTGCTTTAAGTTGACACCACGACAAATAAACACGGATAAACACTTGATAGCCGACTCTCTCACTTTGTTGTAATTAATTTTGATTTTGTCTTGTAGTTTGGCAGTTAAACAAGCAACTAGTGGTGCAAATCTTTGAACGCACAAAAATGGGTGATGAATTTGATGGTTGCGAGTGTGTTTGGTCGCACGAGTACGCAATGCAGCGGCTATTGGCGATGGTGAGTGCAAATTATTTTGTCCCAAAGCATTTTATATTTGCAACAATTAATGTGCGCTCTAATTTTCATCAATTGTTTCTCTTACAGATACGGCAGAGCCAGAATCAATGCACGGATACAGAATGCGTTGATAGTAAGTTTCTGGTGGTTGACATTTCTCAAATTGGTATTATTTTTTTTTTATTTTTACAGTATCGGGTCGCATGCGTGATACCACTACAACTGGCACTGGAAATGAGGAAAGTAACTTCACTATGGTTACTATGCTTATGATCTTTGCGGTGCTTATGTATTTGATTCGGCCAGAATCGATAATGAAATTAACAAATACAAAACGGCGTTCGCAGAGACAAGATCCTAATGGTGGCTTGCCACCACCACCGCCGCCACCGGCACCGCCTGCAGTCAATTAATATTGGCGCTTCGTTTCCTGCGAACTGCAAATACTACATTTTTTGTCTATCAACTGTAATTCAATACACATAAGTTAACACCACCTATTTTTTCCAAGTATAATTCTAAATAATTGTACCCTAAGGGGTTTCTGTCATGCGAATTTACATTGCAGCCGTTTTAAAATTATTAAAAGATGTTTATAATGGGCTCTAAAGAACTTAAAAACAAACATTTGGAGTAAATTAAATTATTGTGCAATAAAAATTTTAAATTTTTAGGCATGTTAAAGATCACGCGAAGAATATATCTATAAAATTTTTTAAATAATTTGAAATTATTCAAAAAATATTTAAACTTTTTCTGCAACTATTACAAACCATTCCATACAAGGATTTCTGAAATGAAAATTAGAAACACCAAATTTGCTCGCAAATCAATAAGAATATATTTGATTGTGCGAGTGTTTGAATAATGTGATTTAATTGCGAAAATTATATTGGGTCGCTCTTGGTGTATCTTAGAAGCGTGAATGAATATACGAGTAAAGTGTTCTTTGTGAAAAGCATAAAAAAAAAAATCTAAGACAATTTAGCAAATGCCACTTATTCAAAACAATTAATATTACCAGACATATATAAATATATATGTATATATATATATATATATAAATTTGCGTATATATACATATCTGAATAAACATACATTATTTTTGGTTATATGCTGCAGCTTGCATTGTATATCACGAACTTGAAGTAGATAGTTGGTAATATTTCTTATGTTAAATTCTTATACATAATCTGAATAAATAAATTTAAAACTGCACACATAAATACTATCTCTGAACAGAGTATATTAAGTTTGCCTCGAAGTTTGTATTACCCCAAAAAGAAGCGTGGGAGACCCTAAAAGATATACGAGTACATATATATACATATACATATATATTATCAGCACGAAGAGCCATGCCCGTTTCCACGATAGTCGGGTCGAAGTTTTCGAGATGGACCCAGTTTTCTATCCGGCCAAGGACTGTCAACTCGGCGTAATGCCTTAAAACTACTTCAGAAATGTTTTCTGTCGCTACAAAAGCGACATCCATGCCCGTCTGATTTCCTTTGAGCTATCGATCTGAAATTTYGCGCACGCCATTTTCAAATTTTGTTATATATGCTTGTTTTATAGATATAGTAGAAAATGTTGTTCGTGTCTTGAGAAACAACCGTTTTTGTATAGAAATATTGTGGTAAAAATTGGTTTATTATCAGTTTTGTCTTGAATAAATTGTTTTTAGCGTTATAAAGATTTATTTAATTACATAATTACACTCATTATATATATTTTACTACAATTTATTTGTTGCTAAAATTAAGTAACGAAATTCTTTTGTAGGAAAATCGCGGGATTTTGAATCTTAGTAAATAATGTAATGATTTTGTTTTAAAATTATTATGTATTTAACAGTTAAAATTAACCATAAGCATACGTTCACACAACCATTCAGACATTTTACAAAATGCAATTTCAAATGAATCTTAAACATGCAGTATATTTATATTCGTTCTTCATCAGTCGTCATCGTCGTTGTGCAATTTGGTAACGATATTTCGTACTTTCTTAATAACCTCCTTCATTTGTTCATACTTGCCCGTTGAATCCGGCAGATTTTCAAAATTAATAACATCACTAACACCCACTTTAAAATTGTCGCCGGCTGGAAGTTTTTCGTATGGAGAAAAATGTAACACTGGTGTACCCATGTGTGATTCCTTAATAATATCCAACGCCGTAGGCGTTGTTGGTTCAACTGTGTGTATTTCGTTCATATTTGTTGGTTTGGATATTCCGCTTGTTTTCGCCTCACTATTGCTGGTTTCCAGTACGAGTGATTCTTCAGTCGCACTACTTGAAGACAAACTGTCAATATCACACAGACCAGACTTCAATTCGGCAAGTAACTTTTGTTTGCGTTCCTCCAAATAGTCTAAAGTGGGCGAACAAGTACGTTCATTTGTAACGGATGAGCTTTCTTCATTCGTTGCTGAGGTAGTTGCATCGTCTGGCGATGTTGGTGGTGGCGGTGGTTTAATGTCGTTTGCGGGTTCCGGTGGTGGAGGGGGCCGAGTAAACACCACGTTTTCATCAACCGCAACGTCGTCTTCAATTTCCATATCGGCATTGTCCAATATGCTAGTTTTAGTCTCAGCCACATTAGTTGTTTGTGGTAGACTCTTCAGTCTTTTATGTTTATAACCCTTTACAACATTGCTTCCCAATTTCTTGATGAACTCCTCTTTTCGTTGATGGCGAGACAAAGGCGGCACATTATGGTGCTTATAGTCCTAGAATAATTTAATTTAAAGTTAAAATATTTACAAGTAAATGAAATTTAACTTACATCATAGAAATTCGGACCAGGATCAACGTTGAATCCTGGGAAGTCTACAATTTTAGATATGTCATATTTATTCTCATCACTTTCTTGTGAATTTTCGTCTTCCGAGGCCAGCACTGCGTTTCCCTTCAATATAAAAAAATTACAAACGTAACGTTAAAACTTAAAAAATATAAATATATGTTTTTTTCTTACATCTGAATTGATTAGAGATATGCCTGAATGCACCACTTTTGCCTCCTCTAGCCAACCTGGTGGATAACCAAGCTTTCTCATACGGTAGAAAAAGAATGGCAGTTCTCCGCGCTTTAAACCAAGTGCTGTCTGCAGCTTGTCACTTATCTTACCCGGCCTTAAATGTCCAAATCTTTGTTCAATGTCAATGTGATATCTCTCTTGTTTACGTGCTAATTTTGCACGATTTATACGCGCGTTATTTCGCGGTTTAGGACATTCTCGTAGTGAGTGTCCATTTACTCCACAATTAAAACAAGCCACTGTTGTTCGCACCCTTTGGCACTCATTTTCCTCTTCTTCTAACTTTTGGCGTTTACGCGCCGAAGATTCTTCATTCAAAACATCTTTAATACTACGTTTATATGAAGGTACACATTGGGTGTCAAGTTTTTTCGAGCCAGAGGTATCAATTGTAAATAACGAGGCCAAGTCTAAATCCGGCGAGTCATCTTCATTGTCTGACATAAGTCGCTCAGATGCTACTCCCGTTACGCTCACCGCCTCTTCGCAATCACTTAATTCCATATTAGAGTGGTTGGCAGCTGATTCTTTTTCTATATAAGCGTTTATACTACTAACTGTAGTATTTTCAGAATTCAAAATTTTAAATGCAAAAATTGGATTATCCACAGACATATTGAATGCCTTATCAAGCGAGTCCAATACTTTATGTCCATATTCTTTGAAAACGCTTTCATTTGAAAACTTTATTTCAAAGGCCAATGTTTGTTTACTGCTTATTATTTGGCATATTTCCGCAGCTTCTTGTGCTTCCTCCACTTCTCCTTCTTCGAATTCAACGCAGACAATTGCCTCTTTAACCGTGTTAGCCACCGGCAATTTTTTCTCAGGAGTTTCATTCATACTGGTGTCCGAAGTTAAATCAACTGTGGTGGTATCACGAATACGGTCCTCCAAATTTTCATTATCACTATCCAATTTGATTATATCAGCATTTTTGTCCATTGTGAATACAAAAATTCACAAAATACTGTCTGTAGAAAGTAAACTTTCGACCGTGCTTCAATCGGATTGTGCTAAAATTATAGAAACGAAGTGGAATCAGTACAGCACAAGAACCACAAAAAATATAACAGTTGGAAATTGAGAATGATACATTTTCACATATTTTTACATTCTCAATGTTGATCATAAAAATTATTCAATATATTTCCCTCCTAAATTAATACTATGATAGAATTGAAGTCTTTTATAAGTATATAAAAAAATAATAGAAAGTATTATATATTTTATTAGTTATTTGATAAATAATATTGGTTATTATTTATTTGAAGCACCCTGTCCGAGGACGTGGCTATTTGCAGCCGTTAGTTTAGTCCACATTGTTCTAATCATGAGTTTCTTTAATTCAAAGAAAGCTTACTGTCACTGATAATTTAAAATAATGCAGTGTATAAAAAAAATTTTACTACACCAATGTTCAGAGGAAAATGAAACCGTAACAATACGTATTGCTGCGTATCATTTGCTTATGAATCAATGAGTGAAATAATAAACATCTTTAGTCCTGACACAATTGTGGCTGCTTCTTGGATTAATGTACATATGCTGTTTGATTTGTTAGCGATTTGCTTCGCGGATTCAAACTTCACCTTTCGACATTCTTTATAGATATTAATAATATTCAACCTGTGCATTGGATATTTGTTATCTTAAATTAAGTCAACTCAAGTTCCGCGTGAGGCAGCAGATATATGAAAATGCTCGATAGTCGTGACTGTGGTGATTTGCTACTTATCGTTAACCCTCTTTTTTGCAATAATAACAAAAACAATTTATTAGAGTTTGAATTATACAATCTTTATTTTACGACTAGATCCAAAGAAGTTTCAATTTAAAAGTAATAATCGTACAAAACTCAAAATCAAAAACAAATAAAATATTATTACAATCATAAAAAAAAAATCTTAATACGCGTTATGATATTTAATGTATATATGTAAAGTGGAAAACAAAGTAAAAAAGATTGTACAAATCTTTAGCGATAGTTACATTTATGTTTGTGGACGTGAGTGTATGTAGTTGCAAACATATTTTTTAGTTTTATCTAATGCACATGAATGTTAATGTACATAATACAAGTTTATGCACACAATCCCATACATATACATGTGTGTATATCGTATCATATGTTAACTACATACTTTTCGTCATTTGTGGTCTATTGAATTTACATATAAGCTTATGTGGGATGCTGTTTTTATTGTTTGTTGTTGTTATCTTATTATTTGCACAGTATAAAAATCATYGTAACGGTAGTACAATATAGGGTATATATACATATATCTACTATATATATGTAGGTATGTTTGTATGTATATAATTAGTAAAAAATAACTTAAGGATATTATTGCAAAAATAATTTACAAATTAAAAATACTTTTATGTTTTCAATACAATGCATTCATAGTATGTTCTGCAAGTATGTGTGTATATGTATGTAAAGTTATTAAATTGTAAAAAATAAAAACCTCACGATTCGATAGCTACTACTTATAGCACATAATCAATAATTTACGTTAGTTAAATTTTAACATAATAATAATTATATTAATATAAATATAATTACAAATTATTACAAAATAATAATAAAAAATAATGAATCATCTATTTACATCAGACATTTAAAATACTTGTTTGTGTGTTTTTCCGTTATATTTATATATATTTTTGTCGCTTGTTTGTTGCTTGTTATCGGTTTCGATTTAATCGATTTGTTGCATTAAATTTTATTTGAATGCAATCGGATTTTAGTTTTATTTTCATTTTTTCGTTTTAACACTGTGTGTTTACAAATTGTGTAAATGGAGTATTTTTTGAGGCTGAAATAATTTTTTCTTTTTGTAAATAGTACTTTTTTGAGGCTCCAATTTATATATTTTTCTTTTTTTTAAAAAACAAATCTTTAAATTATGAGAGCTTTAAATTAAGAACTGGAGACGGTTATATAATGCAAGAAATGAATACTTCACACACATTGCATTTTATTCAATACTCACATTTTTAAATAATTTTTACATTTAACATTTTTGTGCATAGCATAAACTTAGTTTTATTTCATGAAAAATAGCTTTACATACAGAAATATAGAAAATATGTGTGTATTAATTGTGTTTTAATTTTTTTTTTAATTTTTTCAATTAGCTTGCTAAAATTTTGCATTATGCAGACATCAAAGTACATCAACGAGCAATTTGAAACGATTATTTTTGCTTTAAATTGAAGTTTCAATTATTTTATTCATTTGTGCTAAATACTTTTGTTTATTTCATTAAATTTCCATTGATAATATGTATGTGTGTTTTTTTGCTTATTTCTTTCTAAGTATTTTTTTAAACAAAATTTAATATAAAATTCCACAAAGATTTTTTTTTAGTATTCCATTACTCCATAATCTATATTCATGCTTAGCTGCCAGTGTCGTCATCGTCATCGTAGTCATCATCATCACTCCATACATTATCAACGTTGTCATCATCAGGATCACATTGCCATTTTCGTTATACGGTTATTCATTCACATCACTTGTTTATTTATCGCCTTCATTTGATTTAACATTATCAGTGTTCCAGTCCAAGTCGTCGTTTGATCTTCATAAAAAAGCCAACACAATCGCAAAATCCACAATATGTACATACAATCCACACACTGTAACCATCGCATGAACGTCGTCCGCTTGTCGTCAACAATGAAATTAGTAGAACGAAGTAGAATGACACACCTTACTTCTTGCCGAGAGTAAAGCGCCATTCATTGTATTTGTCCATCTCTTCGTGCAGTTGTAGAGCCTCGACGCAGGCGGCGAAGAATTGTGAACCGAAGCAATCTTGCCTGTGTGTGAGAATGGAAGAACATATGCCGTTAGTAATGGAATATTACTGTTATTTAAGCTTGCAAAAATTTAAAAATGTTTTCAAAAATTCAAAACAATTTTGAAAAATTCGGCCTAGTTCCGCCAAAAAATGTTTGGAAATCTTGTTTTGTGAACTTTGTCCGCCAGGTAAAAAATTTATATACATAATAAATTGTTACAAAAATGTATTTAACTATTTACATACATATGTACATATATGTATTTATGCAAAATTGCGACCCAAGAGTTTTAAAAAAAATTATACTCTTGCATGCTTGTGTCTGAGTGAGTGTACCGTTGAATATAATCATAAGTACTAATCAGATATGATATTACAAGACTAAAAAAATTAAAAAAAAAAAATTTAAAAAAAATTTATGTAATATTGAAATTTGTGTATTAAAACAATTTTTGAAGTTTATGTAATATTAAATTTAGTGTATTATAAAAATTTTTGATTAGAAAAAATTTTGAATTTTTGTATTATAACTACATACATATGCGTTATGATATTTTAATTCCAGAAATTTGTATCGCAAACTAATTACTAATTTAAAAAACTCATAAAAGATTACAGCATCATATTTACAAAAAATCAGTTTGAAAAGTTCATACTTCAAACTTATTTACTAAAAAATTCAAAATCTGCAATGTTTTATATACTCGTAATTATGCATACTTCATTGCTCAAAGGTGGCCTAACTTGAGCGCGCTGCAGCTTTAGAGAATGGGCTGGAAAATGTTTCGTTCAAAAGAGCAGCCACACTAAGAGCCTTTCAATATTTTAACAAAATAAAAAATATTTGCATAAATAAGTAAATAAAATAAAATAATGAAAACAAACATACCAAAAAATCAAAAGTTCATTATTGTTGTTATTGCACTGGTACATGTGTGTGTTTGTAGCTGTAATGTGTTGATGCGCAAGTAATTTAAATTCAAAGCCATGCAGCGCAGCCAAACATACACAGACAAATATTTGTCAAATGTGTGTGTGTTGTTGTTTTTCGGTGCGATCTGTATTATTGTAGCCACAAAACGCGCTCCTGTTTGTGGTTTCGCCACTCGGTCTCGCACTGTAGTGCTGCAATGGCCAGCTTACGCCAGTTGCTTGTGCGTTTGGTCGGCGTTATTGTTGCTGTGGTTCGTCTCGATCGTATTCGCCGTTTTTTACAACATACTTTCTACTACATATTTATGCTTGCTTGCTCGTTCAACTACTTTATCACAATAATTTCAATAAATATTTGCTAACAAATTTCTTCAACATTCACATACATAATCTATAGATGCGCGTGTGTATACATATGTAAGTCGCTATGTATGTGTACGTTTCATTACCATAACTTGATGCCATCTTTTTTTGATTTTAAAATATTTTGAAATTTTTTTTTCACAGTTTTCTTTTTATAAATTTGTTATAAATATAGTAAATATAGTCTAGCTTTTGTAAACTATTCTAGCATATATTTATATTTAATATATAAATGTATTTTTTTATAAAAAATTTAGAAACTCTTAAAAGTGCTCCATCTGTCTTAGCAGTTCATTCTGAAAGTACCTGCACTGAGTAAAATATTTGTGTGAAAGTATTTGTATGTATTTTTGTTGTTGTTTAGAAAAATTTCATACGTGTTTTTTGTGTTTAACTGGATTTTTGTGTGCCTTTCACAAATTGCAAAATGTATAAAGGAATATTTAGTTGAATTTGTTTTTATTTTTTTGTTTTTAATTTATAAAAATAACATTTTTTCTAGATAAATACTTATCGGAAAGCACTTACTACAATAATAGTTTAACATTTCTTCACGCATTTTATACCTACATATACACTTGTGTATACTAACAAACACATGTAAAGTAAAAACTCAAAGTTATGCTTGGTGATTTTCGGTTAAAAAAATTAAAAAAAAGTAAGATTATATTTATAAATACAAAATCAATACTTTCTAGTATTTAATATTCCCGAGACATGTTCTATGCTTGCGTTTAAGCTGTTAAAGTGATGTTGCGTAGGTTGGAATTAGGTTAACAACACTGTATTTGAAGCCCAGTTAACCCACAATTTTATGTAATCTTAACAGTACTGCATTTGAAAATCTTTTATTCTACAGATTAATGTGCTGTTAACAGTACTGAAGTTAAAATTATGCTATTTTACAGTTTTATGTAAAGTCAACAGTACTGCACTTGAAATCAAGCTATTTTACAGTTTTATGCAAAAGTTAAGTGATCTGCATTTGGTGCTCTCTTCAACTACAGATTTGTGTAAAGCTACTGTTACTCTACAGTACTGCGTTGTATTTCTATTGATGGTCGAATGTTTTTTTGCAAAATTTTGTGCAAATACAAAAGGCGCATTTATGCAAGTGTGTTATTTTTAATTTTTGCTTTATATTTTTTTTCGTTTTGTTTCCACTCTTTCAACTTTGAGTTTATAATTTACAATATTTTTCACTTTTGCTTATGTCTCTTCTCGACAAAGTTACTAACTTTACTTATAGAATAAATAAGTTTATAAGTATTTTGAATTTCATTCTCTTCTCTGCAAAGTTTTTTTTGTTGTGTTTTTCTATTGTATATATGTGTGTGTTTTTGTGTGAGTGTGAGTTTCATTTATAACTGTTTAGTTAGCTTTTAAGGTTTAAAATAAATTAAGCATATTTTAAACATAATTAATTACATATGTATCTACATATGTAATAAATAACAGAAAATCATAAAACTCAAATGAAACTTAAACCATCGTAAAATACAATAATAAATAAGTACAAATTAATTGGAAATTGGAAAGTTTTGCATCTAAACTAAAGTTATGTTGGGACCGACTGTGGGAATGATATTGGAGAGCCGTTAATCACTTTAATAAAGTGCTGTAATTTCGAAATCTCTTCCGTTGGTATTAAAAGCACTTTCAGGCATTCTCCAAACCATTTCGAATCGAAGCAGTTTTTCCTAAAAATAAACAAAAGAATAAAACGACAACATAAGCATAAAGAAATCAAACAAAGAAATTAATATTTAATAGCAAAAGTATATAAATAAAAGATAACGCATTTTAGGTTATGTTGAAAATAAATATATAATATTAAATGTGGTAAAACGTAAAAATGTCTGGAAATAGTAAAATAAACTAAAAAATGCATTTCAGATTTTTTCAGATAACTTAACATAAGTATAACAGAGTGAATGAATAAAATATATGGAGAAATCAATCACGATTTTTACTTTAACAGCATAAAACCAAAATCGTGAGCAGTTAGAATCTCAAATTTAAGCTTGTAATCAAAAAAAATTTATTTTTAGATTGCTAAATCACTGAAAATTCATTAAATGTTATAAAATAAAATATCTGTCTCTTATACACATCTAGATGTGTATAAGAGACAGGTATGTACATAGTCTGAAAATATTTTTAACAATCTAATTTATTTATACGATTTACCAAACCAAAAGTAAACTGGAATTGTTTAGTGTCTCCGTTAGCTTACCACAAAAAATTAATAAGTTTGCTTACAACAATTTGAATGTGTGAGCTTCAATAGCACTTAAGGTAAAATGAATTTGTATGATTAAAGTTTACGATTACTTCCAGCTAAATACTATCAAATAGGTATGTATATGTGTCATTTCAAAGTATTATAATATCTGTATGTTGCTGTAAACACTAATTCATTCTTAGTCGCATCTCTTTATTGCATGTTTGTAAAAGCGAATGGCATTGGCGAGCCGTTTATAACCTTAACGAAGTATTGAAGTTGGCTAACTTCTTCTTCGGGTATCATTAGTACTTTCAGACATTCGCCAAATGTTTCGTGTGTAAAACAATTTTGCCTGTTTAAATGAGAATAATGCACAAAACGAATATTTTATGGTTTGTATACTAGCTGAAAGGGATATTGGATAGATTTGAGGATTATAGGAGCATAAGTGGTGAAGTTATCTGTTTTTTGGGAAGGATTATATTTACAAGTTTTTTCGAGAGCTTTGATTAAATTTACAGGCAAAGAGTCGTATGTAGAAATATTTTGGTGATAYATGATCGAATTTTTCTACTGCCGAATATGTTTTAAGGGTCATAAATTGAAAGTAATAATAATAATAAGAGGTCATAAGATAAATTTCTTATAAAATAAGTTAATATAACTAATAACCTTCAAATATAAGTTTTAGTTTTGCTCTAAGGATCTTAAGTTAAGATAAATTTTATTAACCAGAATTTAAGAAAAGAATATAAAATATTATATTAACATAAGTGTGTTTAAAAAAATATATTATATTATTTTATATGAATAAGATAAAATTTTGGCAACCCTAGACTTAGCAGGAAAATGCTATTAAAGAGATAATGAGAAGTAAAAACCTCTYCTTACTTAACACCTCTTTGTGTATATCGTCACATCATATTCGATTCGCCATTTAAYCACCTGCACGCTTTGCTTGAGCTCTGCTCGCTTGTCAAAACCAACAAATTGTCACCATTGAATGTATGACAAGAAAGTACGTTTACAATTAATTATCTGATTCATTCCTATGTGATTTATAACTGTGCTTTTCTCTTACCGCTACTCTCCAAGGCTTGGCGAATCGRAGACAACATCTACAACATTTGTAATTTAATAATACTGTGGAAACGAATTAAGATCGGTTAAAGATTGTGCAATAACCATGAATAGCTCTAAATATGAAGTAATATTATTACGAATCTGAACTGGATTAAAGTAAGACTGACGTCAGACTAGCATGGTGCTGTGACAGTATGTGGAATAGTTGACTAGAAAAATTTCTGTAACAAATCTTTGAAMAAAACAAAAAACTAATTAATATTAGTAAAATTTCGTCCAAAAGATAATCTATTTATACCACAGTCATTGCGCCCACTTAATCGACTCTCTATGAGTCTATTCCCACAGTGTTTATTAAATAACAAAATGTGTTTGGGTATGTAACTTTTCCAGAGATCATGTGAGGCGACAACTTACTTGCATAGTCGGTGTATACTTGTCTCGCGGAAAAGTTGATAGCAGTCTTCGCAAATGCGATCCAAGCGGAAGAACATTGTTTTGTTGAAGATGCCTTTGCACTCTAAGTCAAAGAAATTGCTTCGCTTTGACAGATTGTGGTTGTTGTGTGGCAAAGCTGTGATAAGTGGAATCAAGACAAGAAACAGCACCACCGAAATCTTAATATTGCGGGAACACATCTGTAATGAAATTGCAGAAACAAGAGATTTGAAGAATCAGTAAAAGATGGAATTGAGAGGAATTTGGTTGGTTATTGTAATATATAGTTATAGACTTTTAAGAACTTGATTTATACATAAAATAAGTTATTTATCTTGAAAAATATGTTTCAAATACAGAATAAAACGTTAACTTCGGCTCCACCGAAGCTAATATACGCTTCACAGGTGCATTTTCTTTAGTAACTATGTGTTCAGTTTGTATGCCAGCTACATATATGCTATAGTAATCCGATCTGAACAGCTTTTTCGGAGATTACATTGCTGCCTTAGAAAATAATCTATACCAAATTCCGTGAATATATGTGWCCTGGTCTACGGAAAGGGGGCTTAGGTGTCAAAAAATCTTAGTTGATTCGGATGGAAGATGAGATACTTTTTCACGTGATAGAATCCAAAAAGTCATAAACTAGTTTTCGCACGTTAGCTCCCTTTTCGTAGACCAGGTCACATATCTTGTCAAATGTGAAAGTTTTCCATACAAGGACTTGATTCCGATCGATCAGTTTGTACGATAGCTATACGTTGTAGTCCGACAAATGAGCAGCTTCTTGAAGAGAAAATGATATTTGCAAAATTTCAAAACGATATCTTAAAAACTRAGGGACTAGTTCGTATATATACAGACAGACAGACGGACATGGCTAAATCGACTTACATATATAATTTATAGGATATCCGACCTTCCTTCTGGGTGTTACAAACTTCGTGGCAAACTTAATGTACCCTGTTCAGGGTATAATAAGTACAATACGGACAGTAAACGTGATCGATTAATAAGCGGGGAACGGATTCTACAACCAAAATTCTTATTTTTTGTCCAACTTTTGTTGTCGCCTATTTGTAGAAATAATTGACGTAAAATATTTATTTAATAAATTTATAGTTAGAGTCTCCTAGTGTGCACATGGATTAAGCTTAATTATTCACAGTGGTAAGCATACAGCCGATATCGAAAAAATCACTAACTATCGTTATCGTTAACACCATTGTGTCGGGGACAATTTTGTTTCAATAACGTTGCAACGAGAACTGCGCTCGTATGCGCTACTCACGCTAACTACACCTTGGTCACGGCGTGATATTTATTTCTCTACTATTCTTATTCTTTTTTCTCTCTTTATGGTTCGCTATTTTTAAAGTCTGCTGTATTCGTTTTTTTTTTGTTCCGCTTCGTTTCTAAAAGTATTTATAGCTGCGTGCTGTCTGTCGTCTGGCTGGCGTATTCGAAGAATTGGGTAAATGGATATGGGCCAAGTTGAACCTTGAATTTTTCGTGACTGCYCAGCTACAAGACTGATTGTAGCATCCCTTTGTCGGCGGCAGGCGTCTGACTTCTGAMAGCTAGCGACCTGTCGGTAGCCAGACGGCGTGCAGTATGCGCAGTTGCTTCGTTGAGCCGGTTGGTTGCTGCGACTGACCCATTGGTCAACACGACACGGCCGGCTGCTTGTCGACTTGAGCGCTTTTAAGCGCCGCATAGTCTACATTCTCGACATATAAACATCTCGTGGTATTATCGACACACGGTAGACGTATGCATACCGCATGTAATACTATAAATAGCATCTAAAGCGAAATACGTCCGTCTGCATGTGGCGCTGTTGAGTTCAATGGGTGGCATTGCATAAAATTGTATTGCCACATTCAAAGGCGTTACCGACAACATATATCATTTTCACATTTTGTTGCTTTTTGTTAATTTTTTCTAGGTCTACCTTTACTGTATCTGGTTAGGTGAATTGATCGGTCGACCATTGAAGTGGCCGCCAGACTATGTTATTTCTATGCAAAAAGGATATAGCAGAACAGACTAGACGTACTCATAAACACATACGTATATACACATAAATATAYACACATATAGTATGGAAGTCAAACCCTTCAGCTGCCTTGCGGTTAGTTGTATTGGCGGCGCGGCGAGTTACGATCTGTGGGCAGCTCAGTAAGTGTGTAAAGATTTATTTATGGCATAAGTTGTAGCTAAAAATAGCGTTATGTCTTGTAGTGCTAAGATTAATATTGCCAAAGAGGCAAGGTATCGCATACTAGGAGCGCTTTCGGGCTTGTTTATTTATAGTTGGATATGTGTTTACAATATTATGAATTGCAGATTTAATCAATGGCTTGTAGKTTTAAAGACAATATAATGCATATTATTTTATAGCAAAAGTGGGTTATTTTTAAATGTTAAATTATGACTTTGGCGGGGTCTGTAATCTTTGCATGTAGAACAGCATCAAATTTAGTATATAAAGAGATTTGTGAATAATACTTCATATGGGGATGTTTACTAGTAATCCTGTGAACAAAATAACAAAAAATATACGCTATAATGACGAAATGCCAAGCTCGTTTGTAGTACCGATTTCATGGAATTTATTAGAAATTTAGCGGCTCCTTTTTACATTTGTCAGTGAGCAAATTTTTTAGTGTGAAGGGGTTCTCTGATTCAAGCAACCGCAACCAACTTCACGCAACAAGATACTCAATGAAACGTTTTGACATTCTTTTTAATTCTTGAGTTGACTTAAGTCTGCGTATAGGCTTTTAGCCGGTAATTAGAGTTAGCGTTTGTATGAGTGGTGTGTGTATGTGATGTGTGTATGGGGTCCAACCCCCGACCAACAGCTGTATGGAAACTCAACTGGTAGTAGTTACGGCTACGAGGTCTGACCGGAGACTTAATTCTGGTGTCACGGCCCCTCGGGGAGTATCATGTTGGTTGTGGTTAAAATCCACATGTGGAAAGAATTGACACTTTATCAATTGAATTTGGAATTACATTGCAAGCAGGTGCCGGACCCAAAGTAAGGCAGATGTTTTAGGTAACCCTACCAAGGTGGTTAGTGTGTCCCTTGCATACTGCCAATTGGTACTGAAAATGCCTGGCTTTTTCAAGGCGCTAATCAACGCATTGATTTGATTTGCTGGGCTTGCAGCGCCGTGGGGTAAGACTGTCGTCAACAGGTACCACCGTTAAACACAACGGACCTTTCCTGATGAGTGCTACAAACTTTTTGGCAAACTTAAGAAAGCCATTATTATAGCAATCATATTCTAAAAAGTTTTTGTTTTTAAAGAGAGCTTAAATTCTTATAGATCATCGGACTATTTAATAATTGCGCACAAATAATTGCACGCAAATTTTTTATATAACATTTGTATGTATGTTGTGCAACATTTTGATTAAATTACAATTAAGAATTTTTATACAATATTTGTGCCTTGCAAAATCTGATAAACAAATAGAAACTCATAATAATTTTAATATAAAGATGAAGTCATTCTGCGGACGCTTTGAAAATAATATTGAAAACAAAAATATTATGCAAACAGCAAATAACAATTTGATCAACGCCTATCTATTTGCAATAAAAACACAAATTTATATTTTGTAACAAACACATACACACACTTACTAATGTGAGTACAGCGTGCACGCGCGTCGCATAGAGATCGCTTTTGCATTTGGGAGCAGTGCGTCAATGTAAATTAATGAATGGCCGGTTACTCGTTCGCAAARACGTATGTGTGCGTGTGTGTGTATTTGTTTGTGCTGTGTTTATACGAGTCTTAATTGAAATGTCATGCAGATAATGCTGATGCATCACTTTTAATTAATATATTTTATGCGACGACACTATGGCTGGCTGTGCCGCTGTGCTGTTGCTTTCAACGATGTTGAGCGTTGCAATGATGGTAAATATATAGCGCATCTGTATGCAGATGATGATCGCAGTCATATAGACGCGGGCGATAATAATTTGTACTTTAGCGATAACGGCCGATGATGCAYCACCGTGTGCCGCACTTTATTTGCATTTGCGAAAGACGCAATTCGTTTATGGGCGCGACGGCCGAATCGCCGCTATCGGCGTCGCCGTCGCCGCATAGCGTCACATAGTCAATGTGCTGACAAGCCCCCCTGAAAAAAATGTACAAATACAATAATAATAATGCTGTTTGGCATGCAGATTGGGTGACGGTGTGGTGCTAGCRCAGAAGTGGTGACAAGTGAAACGAAGCGAGTGTCGGCAGCCTCGTGAGCCAAAAACACAAAAACATCAAAAAAAGCAGTAAAGGCGAGCGAAGTGCTATTAAAATTGATTTGCCGACACACATACATACATCAACAGCTACTAGAGGTCTGCAAGTGGCCGCCCTGTGGGGCGCGCAGGGGGCGGGCAACGMGTTGTAAATATACGTATGCCAGCTATGATTTTGTATGTGTGTTTATAACTTGAATTGCGCGCGCTACTCGTGTTAAGCATGCTGTGTGCATAGCGTATAACGCTTCTGAAACGCGTATGTGTGTGTGAAATTAAAAATACAGTACACGTGCAAGCGCTTTCGTAAAACGGAGCCGCGTCGCGCTACGATATGCGTGACAGATATGTAAATACGCTAACGTTTAGGTGATATTAGAGTAAAACACAAACACACTCATAAATACATACATACGTCTAAATATATATATATATAATATGTTTGTAAATACTTTCCCCCCACACTCATATCCTCATTTGAGCTATTTTCAGCGCGCTCTTTCCATACTCATTACTGCTGTTGTAATTTACGCGCTGCGCACCAGACTGTTGTGCGCCCACCGCTGAGTGGCAAGTGTGTGTCTGCGCGCCAGCAGCGCCAACGAGTTCGCCSTGACAATTTCTCAATGAATACGCGATACTTGTGGCAGACATTGTGTCTAAAATCAAATAGTCGCGCTAAATATACGCGGTGTCTAGAAAAGTACACATGTTCACTTATCTTAGTACATACATATGTATGTAGGTATGTATGCATATATGTACACATATATATATATATGTATGTTTGCTTGTACTATATGCTAAAAATATAATTTTCACTCAATTAAAATAAACTCTTGTACAGTTTTAAGCGTTTTTGCTTCAAAGTGTAATGAGTTTAAGGTTATGTCTATGAATTCTTGTACTACA